AAAAAAAAATGTGAAAAATGATGTAAAAATAAACTTTTTAATAAAAAAGATAGCATCTTTAAGTGACATAATACATTATGGTGGTCTGATGTATTCCATTTAGACTATTGTCTTCAAATTTCATCTATGTTGTCACAAGTGATAGTATTTCCTCACTTTTAACAGCTGAGTATTATTCCACTGTGTCATAACTTCTTTATCCATTCATCCATTGATAAATGGATAAACTTCTTTATCCATTCACAAACTCTTTATCCATTCATTCATTGATGGGCATTTCCATTATTTCTATCATTTGGTTATTTTAATCAATGATGCTGTGAGCATGAGGTGCAACTATCATTTTGAGCTGTTGTTTTCATTTCCTTTGGATGTATTTTGAGAAGTGGAATTGATGGATGATACAATAGTTCTACTTTTAAGTTTTTGAGGATCCTCCATACTGCTCTCATAGTGGTTATACTAATTTATAATCCCACTAACAAAGCACAGAGTTCCCTTTTCTCTACAGCTGTGTAAGTATTTGTTGTTTCTTGGTTTCTTGGTGATGATCATTCTAACAGGCATAAGGCAATAGTTCACTGTTGTTTTCTTGGTTTTGTCATTTATATCTTCAAAGAACCAACTCTTAGTTTGGTTCTCTTTTCTGTTCTCCATGTCATTTATATATTCTCTATTCTTCTGCTAGCATTGGGCTCTTTTCTTTTTCTAGTTCTTTAAGATATAGAATTAGGATGTTTATTTGGAATTTTTCTTGTTTCTTAATATAGGAGTTCATTGCAATGAACATTCCTCTTAGAACTGATTTTGCTGCATTCCATATTTCTGATATGTTTTGTTATTGATTGTTAGTTTCATGCAGTTATAGTCAAGAAAGATACTCATTATGGTTTAAGTCTTGAATTTGCCAAGACTTATTTTGTGACCTAAGATACGGTCTATTCTAGAAAATGATCAGTGTACTCTTCAGACGAACTTGTAAAGTGTTTTAGGATAGAATGTCCTGGTTATATTTGCTAGGTCCACTTGTTCTATATGTTATTCAAATTTGCTTATTTATTCTTTGTCCGGATCACTTATCTGTTATCTGAGGTTTCAAAGTCCCCAATTATTAACTTATTGTTTATTTCTCTTCTTAGTTCTCCACTATTTGCCCCATAACATTTATAATGGCTACCTCTTTTTAAGGTATTAATCCCTTTATCATTATGTGAGACTACACACACATACACATATGCATCTGTGTCAAAATATCTTTTAAAATAATTTTTAATTTATAGACTGTTTTTGTCTGATAGAAGGATGACTATCATTGTTTTTTTGTTTTAGTTACCACTTGCTTGAAATTATTTTTTCCATCCCTTTGCTTTCAGTCTATGTGAGTCTTTAAGTGAGTATCTTATAGGCAGGCAACAAATTGAATGAACTTCTTTGTAAATTCATTCTATGTATTTTTACCAAAAAATTTATTTTTTACATTTAAAATGCTTATTAAAAGGTAAATGTTTACTATTTTATTTTTTTCATTGTTTTCTGGTTGTTCCGTGGATTCATTGTCCTCGTTTAGGCTGTTCTTTTTGTATTTTGACAACTTTTGGTATTCATGTGCTTTGATGTCTTTATTGTGTATGTATGTATGTGTGTGATTTCTTTATTGTGTGCATTTACTATGGATTGTCCTTTCTGGTTACTATGAAGTTTATATAAAATATTTTAAATTTAAAAAATTGTACTTTTTTTTATGGTTCCCTATTTGAAACTGTTAACAACTGCAACAGAATTTGTGAACTATATATACTTACACTTCTCCACCTCACATTTTATGTGACAGCTGTGACAATTTACATGTTTTATGTTGTGCAACAAATAACAATTTATTGTACTGATAGTTATTTTTGCCACACCACTTTTAAAAATTTTAAACAAGAGTTGTGAATTATGCATTGGTATTGCCATCTTGCAAAATCTAACTATGACTGTATATTTACTACCACCAGTGAGAGTTACTATTTTTTATTATTTTAATTGTGATTCTTTTATTTTTATTTTTCAAACAGTTCTCTTTAATATTAATGGCAATGCAGGTTTGGTGGTAATGAACCCCCTCAAGTTTTGTTGGTTTGGGAAAATGTTAATACTTTTATTTTGAAGGACAGCTTCTCTAGTTAAGGATTCTTGGTTGACAATTATTTTCTTTCAATAGTTTTAATATCCCAATTCTCTCCTGGCTTGAAAAATTTTTTGAAAAATCTGCAAATAACTTTATGAGTGTTCTCTTGTAGAAACATTTCTCTTTTCTCTTGCTGTTCTTAATTTTTTTAAAGATTGATTTATTTATGCATACAAGAGCTGGGGTACATTTCAGAGGTATGCGGGGTGAGAGGATGCATCAGATAGAGTGGGGAGCAGAACAGATGGACTAACTGAAATACATTGCTGAAAGGAGCAGTGGGAGAGACAGTAGAGGTCTG